CCTCTCCATATTACAGGCAAAGGAAATGAGGCTCAGATATTACAGGCTAGCTCCAATTTACCTCCCGCCCAAGACCTCAGCCCAGAGAAAGAATAAACATAGCCCAGAAAAACATAAATTAAAGTATTTTATTTTGATAAAGAGGGACCTTGCAGCCAGACCAGAAACCTAGGATCACCACCGTGGGACACCCACCATGCCTTGGTCTCTTTGGTTGCTACAGTGAAGCTCAAGGTGGGGGTGGGTGCTTACAGATGATCATCCATTTCCCATCTCTCTGGGTGCTGGGAGACCAAAGATCAAGGCACAGTGGTTTTGATGTCTGGACAAACTCCACTTACCTGTACCTGCATGGGGCCGTCTTGTAGTGCTTCCACAAGTTACAATGGGGACGGATCTCTGGGCCTGTTTCAGATCAACAAAGATTGACTTCAGGCCTCTATTCTCACCATCTAACCCACCCCCGAAGGCCCCACCTCCTGACCCCATCATGTCAGTGATTAGGATCTAAAATATCAGTCAGGCCACAGCATCTCATGACCTTCTGAGGCCACACAGCCACAGGCTACTACAGCAACTTCAGGTCCCAACTAATGCAAATCTTATTTTTCAGAGAAGGAAACTGGGTTCTTTGAGGCCACCAGCATCACTTATCCTGACACCAGCCCTCAGGGGCAGGGACTGTGGTTGCTCAGCACTTGTTTCTGTAAATGAGTACCCAGCCTCAGCCTCTAGGACTGCCTTGGAGCCTACCATCAGTCTCCCTCCCTCGCTAGGACAGCCACGGAGCTGGAGGAAACTGGCGCTCCTGATCCGGGATCCTAGCCCGCCACCTAGAGGACATGTTGACAATTGTCAGGACAAGGCACCCTTCTCTGGTTTTATCCTTAAGTTTGGGGTGGAGCTGGGGGAGCTCATGGCTTTTCAGAAGTCCTTTATTCTGATATACAGAGCCCACCCCCAGGGTCTAGGGTGAACTCTATAGAGACCTCTTTCAGAATCAGGGTCATTCTTAGACAACCTCCTTTGGATGTCACCAAGTCTGGGGTCCTCGAAGAGAAATGTACCTGGAACCATACACTTTCTTTCACAGGTCCTTCCACGGTCTCTAGAGGGCGTCCTGGAACTGGGAGCCCTCATCTGGAGCTGCACAGATTAAAGAAGGTACTTCTAACCATGGGCCTCAGGGCCACTGCAGCCCTGCTGACCTCAGGCCGAGGTTGGCTGTGTCCACAGACCAGCAGTACTCCAGCTCCCTCCACGTGTCACTCTCAGGCCGTCATTCCCCTTGGAGATTCCCAGGGGTCCAGGGTTTCAGAAGCCCCCAGTGATGGTGTGATGTCTAAGTAACACAGTGGTGTCACCGCACACAGAGGAGATCATCTGGACAGGATGAACGGGTGCCAGGCCCAGGAGATGCTGGAGTGATGGGTGCCAGGCACTGGAGACGCTAGAGCGGTGGGTTCCAGGCCTAGAAGATGCTAGGGCAGTGGGTGCCAGGCCCAGAAGATGCTAGGGTGGTGGGTGCCAGGCCCTGGAGATGCTAGAGCGGTGGGTGCCAGGCCCCGGCTCAGGTGCTTCCAGACTTGGTGCTGGCTCCCACCATCTCACCTACATGGCCTTGGATAGGTGCTAGCTGAGCGCTACTTTCTGGCAAAGGGGGGGTTGGTTTTAGCTGAGAGAGTCTATTTCAGATGTGAAGAAAAACTTGCTGTAGACAAAACTTCTCTTAAAAACCCCACGGGGAACTCCAATGGGGAACCCCATTGTGAAGACCCAAGGTTTTGTGCAAAGCACTGTGAAGAGGAAGTCCAGCCCACGCTTCCAGAGAAGGACATGGGGAGGCTGCAGCAGCTGTCTGCCTCTTAGGACACGCCCACTTGCCATTGATGGGTGAGGAGAGAGGGAGGTTGAATCAGTGGGACTTGTCGACCGGCTGTCCACATCTGTTTGGTAGCAGTCCTCTATGTTCGTAACAGCAGACATGATTGTGTGCAAATTACCTCGTGTAGAAGTTCTTGGCACGGTTCCAGGCTCCTAGTAGCTGTTCAGTAAACACAGGCTAAGTTTGAGTTTGGATCTTGCTTGATCAGTTCAGATATGTGGCTTGTTTTCAGCGGGTGTGGTTCTTCTGGTCATTAACATTAGAATTCCAGCTACAGACTCAGTCTCCCGCCAGTGCTCCCAGTTACTCCCGTGTCCTGTGGGTGTTTCTTACAATGCTCCCCTATCCTTATGTCCTATGAGTGCTCCCCATGACTCCGTGCCCTGTCCTCACACACAATGATGCTCTCTATCTCCCGTGCCTTGTGAGTGCTCTCCACCACCACTGTGCCTTGTGAGTGCTCTTTATCCCCCGTGCCTTGTGAGTGCTCTCCACCACCGCTGTGCCCTGTGAGTGCTCTCCACCACCGCTGTGCCCTGTGAGTGCTCCCCACCACCGCTGTGCCCTGTGAGTGTTCCCCACTGGCCTGGTACCCTGACCTCTCATCTTCCATGATCCAGCACCTCACAGGCACTCTGACTCAGGTGTATAACTGGCATTGTTTGTGGGCACTTGGCACAACTTCCCTTCTGTTGCCCTCGGGAGCATCTGGACTTCCGTATTTCCACAGTCACTCCCCAGCACACACCCACTGCTCCATGAAGAGATGGAGGAGCCAGCACGTGCCTCCTGCTCTTCTCAGTTCACATCTCCTGCAAGGACATGGTTCCCTTGTTCAGCCTGTGTCCATGCCTTGACTGCAATCTGGGAAGGTTTCCTCCTCGCCATGCATTCCCGTACATGAGAGGATGTACTTGAACAAGGCAGGGAGGGCCTGGGCACACCTGGTCCGCAAAGGGGCTGTCTTTGGACCCCTAGGCCATGGGGTGCCCGTGACAAGTGGAGACCATCCTGGTGCCTCCCCACAATGCTTTCTCACTCTCCCAAGGCACCTGCTAGCACCAAGGAGGCTGAGCATGCTCACCGCAGGCCACCAGCCTGGAGCAGCTGCCACAGGTGTGAGGTTCCTTTGAAGTCTTGTATTCTGTCTCAAAAATAGATCCATGTCTGCCTTCTACTCCAGTCTTGCTACTTTGTCCAAGGCTTAAAATAGCACTTTGAGTCTCTACTACTCACTACGCGGGTGCTCCGGGAAGGTGAGGGCTCATCCAGTGGCCTCATCTATATTGCAAGCTTGCAGCAGCACCCATATTTTTGAGAGGCATCTCTACTTTGGTTTTAAAGAAGGATTAGGTTTTGTGTGGTCAGGCTGGAAGTGTGGCAGGTATTAGACTTAAAATTGTGCCCATGGCCTTAGCAAAATGGATTTTACAAAGTTTGATGCCAACCTGAATGGGCTTGCCTGGGGACTGGACATGAGGAAAAGGGTAGGAAGTGGGCAACTCACGGCATTAAGATTTAAAGAGCCAAATGGGATTTGTTTTTCCCACAGGGTTTCACTATGTAGTTCTGGGTAGCCTGGAATTCTCTAAGTGGACCAGACTGACCTTGAAGTCATAGAGAACCATCTGCCTTTTCCTCCCCTGTCCTGGGTTTAAAGTCATGTGCTGGGTCCAGAGAGGATGTTGAGGAATTTCTTCTAACCATCCTCAGAGAGAGCAAGTGGTAAAACACCGTTAAGTTATACACATCTGGATCCCAAGTATATGATCAGGTATTCCCTGATCCATTGGTCACAGTGCTCAGGAGGATGGACTATGTTGCACTGGACACAGGCATAGCTTCCTCACCTGAAGGGTGCACCAGGTAGGTAGCCTGGATTTGGGGAGGCTGTCCTCATAGTTGTAATATTGCTCCATTTTCCCAGCAGGGGGCAGAAAAGCACCCAAACAAGTCTTACTTATCTATTCGTGTGTGTGTGTGTGTGTGTGTGTGTGTGTGTGTGCGCGCGCGCGCGCGCGCATGCTGGTGTGTGTTTGTATCTCTCTGTGACTGTGTATGTATTCATGCCAATGAATTTGTGTGAACAATGTCCAGGAATCAGTTCTGTCCACCACATACAGGGATCAAGCTCAGATTATCTGGCGAAGTCACACTGAGCCGTCTTGCCAGCCGGATACTTTATGTTTGGAGATAGGCTCTCAGTTTCTTTCCCAGGATTGCCTTGAACTCACTCTGCAGCTCATGTGGGACTTGGAGATGAGATCCTCTCCCTTCAAGCTTACTGAGGAGCCGGGATCTGCGTTTCTAGACCTGTGGACGTTTTTAAAAAGCACAGCCACATGCAACATTAGCCTGGGGAATGGTTCACCAGAAGTCAGTAAACAAATAAGAGTGTAGGGAACCTGCAGGATGATGATTCGGATGGGTTCTGAGTCACAGCTGCCAGCACACTCTGACTTGGCTCCAGGTTCAATAACAGCAAATTGATTTAATTGACTTAAACTTTCCTATAGACAATAATTGCTCCCTTGGAACACAGTATTTTTATACTATTTGACGACACCAGAGGGAAAATAAAAGTAACTAAAAACTCAGAAATTGGATTGGTATTGAGCAGGGGAGTACAGGAAGGGAGTCACTTGAGAAGCACATCGTTGGTCCCTAACCTGCGCAGTGGGAGAATGACCGCTGAGGTAGGATGCTCAAGGATGCTCGTGGAGCTGAGAGAGCAAACAGACCACAAGGCAGATTCCAGAAAGGATGGAACCATGAAAATAGATCTGACTACAAAATCCTTGGCTGACCTCAGAGAGGTCGAGGCCGCTAGCCAGCAGCAAGAACAAACACGGGAAAGGAGGGCCGTTTTGGTGGCTGTCCATGGAGAGGGTGGAGTCAGAAGGGTGCTACAGCAAATGTCAGTGCTTCATCTGAAGAGGCCAGAGAAAACCATAGAAGCCAGACTGTATGGCGCAGACCTTAGAATCAGCCAAAGATGAATAGAAGACATCACATATGCACTCAAAGACTCAGATGAAAGTGTTCACAGTGGAAAAAACCCAGAACTCTGGAGAACGATGAAAATGTTAGACACATACTGTATAAACAAAGACACATGGATGTGCGTGGCAGTGGATAGAATCCGACGAAAGGACTAGTGGCCTTGAAGCTCGGAACGTGTGTGGGAGGCGGGAAATAAAAGGAATAGGTGTTCAAAGATCCATGGGGCAGGATTAGTTGGCCCAGCATGTGTTAACATGGGCGGAAAGAGCAAATGGACAATGAAAAGGGTATTTGGAGAACTACTGACTAAATATTCTAAACGTGCTTAAAAAATAATGTGTGCACCCAACATGTTCCCTGTGTGCCAAGACGTATGTTATAAAGGGAACAGCTGTGTCTTGGCACACGGAGCACCTCAAACCATGATGAGGAGAAAACTCCAGGTGAACAGCAGCAAGAATGGCTTCCCAGCACACGTCACACACGAGGAGTGCCCGTAAAGACAGCTGGGACTTCCCAGCAGAGATGGCAAAGGGCAGACTTCAAACATGGGACACAAAGACGTATCAAGTTAATGATAGCTGAGGTGGTTCATTTCAAGTAGACCTGTTGTACGCCCCCCCCCCCCCAAAGGCCTAGACAGACGGCTCAGCAGTCATAGCAGATGTAAGCACTGGATGAACCCCAGAGGACCCGAGTTATTTCCCAGCCAACTTCCTGAGTATATGCTGCCTTATTCCTCTGGCCACAGGCACCAGAATGCACTGCTGCATTAAACACCCATATGTACACAATTTTTTTTTCTTTTTGAGTCAGGATCTCACTGTGTAGCTCTGGCTCTGCTGGAACTCTCTCTGTAGGCCAGGCTGGCTTTAAACTTGCAGAGATCCACTTGCCTCTGCCTTCTGAGTGCTGGGATAAAAGGGGTCTCGCACTACACCTGGCTAAAAAATAAATTTTTAAAAACTTTAAAAAGACAAAAAATTTTAAAGAAGAAATAAAAGATTAAAAAGAAAAATGTCAAGTTTGAAGGGAAATTTAGGTCAGAAAGAAATTCCAACTTACAGGAAGGATTGAAGAAAACTAAAAATAGTAAATGTGTAAATAGTAATTACAGAAAACTCAATTTTCATTCTCTTTATTTAACAGATATATAATTGTTAGAAGCAGAAATTATAGCCTGATATTATGAAATTTATAAAGCATATGATTAAAGCTTTATACTTAATACAAAGAGTGGAGAGATTACTATAAAGTTTGATATAAAAAGACAGAATGATAAGGGTATAAATAAATATTCCTACAGAAAATACTATAAAATAATGCACAGAGGCTGACCAAAAGTGTCAAAAGAGAAAACTGATTTTTAAAGTTTAACTCACAGGCTGGAGAGATGGCTCAGAGGTTAAGAGCACTGGCTGCTCTTCCAGAGGTCCTGAGTTCAATTCCCAGCAACCACACGGTGGCTCACAACCATATTAATCAGATCTGGTGCCCTTTCCTTGACTGTAGGCATACAAGCAGACAGAATACTGTATACACAATAAATAAATAAATCTTTAAAAAAATAAAGTTTAACTCACAAGAAGACAGGGAAGGAGTAACAGTGGAACAAAAGATGCATACGACAAACAGAACGCGGATGGGAAAACTGGTAGACATAGACTTAACTACGCCAGCAGTTACATTAAATATAAACAGATTAAAAACTCCATTTAAAGGGCAGAGTTTATCAGATGGTGTAGCAGGAGCACTTTTCAATATAACAACAGGCTGAAAACAAAAGGCAGGACAAAGACATCCCACACCATCGTTAGGAAGCTGAAGTGGTGATGTCAGTATCAGTTCAATCATTTTACATGAGGGAGTAGCTGCCAAAGATGAGCATGCCGTGAAGACCAATCTACCAAAAAGCACAGCAGTTATGCACATGCATTTCTCCCTGCAGCTTTAATTTATGTGAAAATAAACCTAAAAAAAACTAAAATGAGAAACTGACAAAATCTACAATGATGCTATATTTCTTTGTTTCTTTTCTGTTGCTGTGCTAAAATGCCCTGATAAAAGCAACCTAAAGAAGAAAGGTTAACTTTGACCCACAGTTCAAGGTGCATCACAACAGGGAAACCAAGACAAGAGGGTTTGGGTCAGCTGCTCACACGGCATCTGAGGTCAGGATGCAAAAGTGATGAATGCATGATGTTGCTCAGCTCCCTTTCTCCAGGACCTCAGCCAGGAGGATGGTGCCACCCACAGTGGGCAGGTCTTCCCACCTCAACTCATGTGATCAAGACTGCCCTTCACAGTCATGCCCAGAAGGCTGTCTTCTGGATGATTTTAGATTTTTTTAAATTTCTTGACAATTAATACTAACCATTATAAAACCCTTCTCAGAAGTGATGAAACAGACTAAAAATAAGCTAACATATAGAAGATCTGAACAGAACCAAAAATATCCATCCAGTTGTTACAGACTCTTATACTGTATGACTGCACTAGATTATTTGTACATATGTACAGAACATTCTTATCTTTACTTAGTAACCTTACATTTTTTAAATTGAAATCTTTCAGACTATGTTTTCTGGCAGTAATAGTTAAATTGAATTTTTATATGCTACTAATAAACAATCAGAAGTTTAAATGTGAATGTTGAATTTTAGAATTGTTGAAAATTCTTCACACGATCTATTACTTTATATAAAATATATTTATTTGTCTAGCTAATTACCAAAAGTATTTTTAACTATTCCACATTGATTGTTTGCATATTGTGCTATATTATACACTTTCTTATCTTGAAATTATTTTTTTAATAAAAGCTTTTGGAAGAGGAGTTGGCACCATAGGTTTTGTGTGCTCTGCCGGTGCTGCGGCAGGGAGCTGAGCAAAAATCATGGGCGAATTTCAGCACCAGGGCACGGCAGAGATCCAGTTGAGGGTTGATTTGTGAAGATGTGAGGATGAAGACTGGCTGCCTTTTGAGATGACATGATGTTGAAGTATGGGAACTATTAGAAGACAGTGAGCTATGATAATGTGCAAGTAGACTTCACTCTGGAAGAGTGGGCTTTGCTGGGTCCTTCCCAGAAGAATCTGTACAAAGATGCGATGCTGGGGGGGCTGGAGAGATGGCTCAGAGGTTAAGGTGCATTGCCTGCTCTTCCAAAGGTCCTGAGTTCAATTCCCAGCAACCACATGGTGGCTCACAACCATCTGTAATGAGGTCTGGTGCCCTCTTCTGGCCTGCAGGCATACACACAGAAAGAATATTGTATACATAGTAAATAAATAAATATAAAAAAAAGATGCGATGCTGGAGACCTACAGGAACCTAACTGCTGGAGGCTATAAATGGGAAGACAAATATACTGAAGAACACTGTCAAAGCTCTAGAAGATGTGGAAGACATGAAAGAAATCAAAGGGAAACTATCTGAAAATACTCAAGGTGTTAAACTTTTCCATATCACAGTCATCTTCAAATATATAAAAGAATACACGCTAGAGAGAAGCCCTATGAATGCAATCAATGTGGTAAAGCCATGCATATTACAGTCATCACCAAAGACATAAAAGAACACATACTGGAGAGAAACATTTTGAATGTAACCAGTGTGGAAAAGCCTTGACCTGTCACATTCATCTCAAAATACATAAAAGTATTGATTCTGGAGAGAACCCTCATGAATGTAAGCAGCGTGGTAAAGCCTTTACATGCCATAGTCATCTTCTAATACATCAAAGAAAACATGCTGGGAGAAACCCTATGAATGTAACCAGTGTGGTAAAGTCTTCGCACAACATGATTATCTCCAAAATGATAAAAGAACACATACTGGAGAGAAACCCTACAGTTGTAACCAGTGTAGTAAATCTTTAGCATATCACACTAGTCTCGAAGCACATGAAAGAACTCATGCTGGAGAGAAACCTTACAAATGTAATTAATGTGATAAAACCTTTGCATATTACAGTTATCACCAAAGACATAAAAGAACTCATACTGAAGAAAAACATTATGAGTGTAATTACTGTGGTAAAATATTTCAGTGTCATACTCATCTTCAACAACTTAAAAGAACACATTGTGGAGAGAAACCTACAAATGTAGTCAATGTGATAAAGCCTTTTAACAACACAGTCATCTTCAACCTCATAAAAGAATACTCTGGAGAGAAACCTACAAATGTAATCAGTGTGATAAAACCTTTTCACAACACGCTCGTCTTCAGTCTCATTAAAGAACACACACTGGAGAGAAGCCCTACGGATGCAGGCAATGTGGTGAAGCCCTGGCCCAGCATAGTCGTGTTCACGTGCTTGGAAGAACTCATACTGGATGGAAACCGTATGAATACAATCACTGTGACAAAGAATAAATAACTCATATTCACACTGGAGAGGAACCTTATGCATGTAAGCAGTGTTGTAAAGCCTTTGCATGTATCAGTAGTCCTCAAAAATCATAAGAAAATATCACCCTGCAGAGAAACCCTATAAATTTAGTCAGTGTTGCAGAGTTATGCAATTCATGGTAGTCTTTATACAAGAGTAAACTTTTCCTTTTAAAGCCCATACATATTACATAAATCTTTGGGGATTGGAAGAAAGCATACTAAAGCATATTGGCTGTAAAGGATTTGGTAAGACCTTTAGCCACATAGATACATTCCATCACATAAGGTTGGTTATTTTTTTTTCTGGAGAAAAAAAACCTGGAAAGTATCAGCAATTTGTTCAAATTTTGTGATTTTTAAAAATTTTGTTTGTACATGCACACTCAATAGACAGTCTATGAATTTAAATTATAAAGCAATTCTTTTAGATTTCATACTTCTTTTTGATCACAGGAAACAAGAAATCCATGAATGAACTTTTTGGACATGCACTAGTGAATTTTCTGTTGTGGTAATGAAACAATGTCTCAGTCAGCTTACACAATGTCTCAGTCAGCTTACACAAGGCTTTCATTTCTCCCTTGGTCCAGAGAGATACAGGTTCACCATGAAAGTGGCTTGGCAACAACTGTCAGACATGGAAGGTAAAGCAAGAAACTACACCCTTACAGCCTCAGCCTGCACCTTGAAGCAGAGAGTAGACACTGGAAAGGGTGTATGGATGGAAACTCAGGCCTATACCTAGTGACATATTTCTTCAGCAGGACAGCATTTCCTCAATCTTCCCAAACACCAACTGAGAAGGATTGATTTCTCTGACTTCAAGCCTACATGATAGCTTTTTTTTTCATGATGAAGAAAAATTCTGCAAGCCTTTAACTATCTCAGTTCCTGTGTTATAGGAAGACTGCTTACAATAGAAAAACATTCATGAGAGAAAATTTGTGTAAAGATTTATTCAAATTTTAATAATGCAATATCAGTGTGTCTTGGTGTGGGTATGTCCATGTGCATTCTGTTTCCTAAGAAGGTTGGACCTTTATCTTTTAGCATGAATTACAAGAAGATATCAGAATTCTGATTTTGACCCTTGGAATGAACTTGTATTAATTGCTCAGCCATGTCTCTAGCCCTTTAAGTATCTTGATTTCAGGAACTAGGAAGAACTCATACAAGAGGAAAACCATATTTGTGTAAATGATGTTGTAAAGAACTTAGATATCACAGTTTCTACAGGTTAAGGAAATAAACCTTATTTCATCTATTTTCATCATAGCCCTGAAAAAAGCAAATTACATATCTTGTTGACTCAAGATTGATGATGGAGATCCCTGGTAACATATCAGCAGGTCAGACATTCAGCAATCAACTGTATATGTTACAATATAGCTTAACATGCTTTAAAGCTTTTCACAAAACAAAAAATTTAAACTGGATGTCAATAACAATAAGAAATCTAGAAAAGCCCACAGATAGCTGAAAATTAAACAGTGCATCAGTCAAAGAAGCAATAAGAGAGACAATTATAAAATCTTTGAGGCTGAATGATGAGGTCAGTACAACATTTAAAATATGAGAGAAGCCGCTAAAAGTCAGCTTGGGACCTTCAGCCTTGGATTGTGAGGAAAGACACTGACCTGTCCCCCTGTGAGGAGGTAGACCTGACACACTGTTACAGATGGTGGTCTAATTTAGGATCTTTTGGCAGTAAAATGTTGCCAAAGTGGCAGGACTTCAGTGGAAATCACACTTTGAGTCTGGAACTTTGCCTGGTGTGGAGATTTGAAAGAAAATAGCCCCTAAAGGGAATGGCACTGTTAGGAGGTGTATCCTTGTTGGAGTAGGTGTGGTTTTGTTGGACGAAGTGTGTCACTGTGGAGGTGGACTTTGAGATCTCATATATGCTCAAGATACCACCCAGTGTCTCAGCTCACTTCCTGTTGCCTTTGGGTCAGGATGTAAGAACTCTCAGCTCGAGCGCCATGTCTGCCCACATGCTGACTTGCTTCCTGCCATGATGATAATGGATTGAAAGTCACCCCAATTAAATGTTTTCCTTTCTAAGAGTTGCTGTGGTCATGGTATCTCTTCACAGCAACAGAAATCCTAACTAAGAAACCTGGCTAACAGCATAAGAGGTAGAACATTCAGCAATGAGTCATAGCTCCAGACGGTCCCATACTCGTGAGGGTGGACTCTTCTGCCGGAAGTTTTGGGTATAGATAACCGATAGCTTATAAAACATGCTCTAACTCTTTCCTACAAAATAGACTTTGTGGTAGAAAACTTGACCAATTGGAGACTAATGTCCTCTAAGCATGTATAAAGGAGGCTGAGCTAAGCCCTCGTGTTCAGTAGGGCAAGTTTATTAGATAGATGATAGATAGATAGACAGACAGACAGACAGACAGATAGACTCACTGTGTAGTCCAGTCTTGAACTTATATAGTTCAGGCTGTCCTCAAACTCTCAATCCTCCTGCCTCTACCTACTGTGTACTGAGATTACAAGTGAGTATCTACCACCATGTCAGTCGCATAAGTATATCTGTTTTATTTATTTTGGTATGTGTGTGTGTGAATTTGTTCATGTGTATGTGCACATGCGTGTTGAGGCCAGAGGCTGGCAACAGGTGCTTTCCTCAATCTTTCTCTACACTCTACACTTATTTTTTTGAGACAGGGTTTCTCACAGAGCCTGGTGCTTACCAGTTTTGCTAGATTGGCTGAACTTCAGGGATCCATCTATGTCTGCGTGTCCCATGCCAGAGCAGGGCTGGGATTACAGACATGAGGAACAGTGTCTGGCTTGTACGGGGTGGACGCTGAGAATTTGAACTCAGCACTTTACCAAATAAGCTGTCTTCCTAGACCCTTCAAATGTTATCTATTTCAAAATTAGTTTTTGTTTGTAGCCAAATCTATCCCTAAACCAGTGATGCTCTAGCCCCAGGCTCCCAAGTGCTGGGATTACAGACATGTGCCAACACACACAGTGATCTACTGTAGTTTCCGTTTATGAAGGGTTTATTTTACATAACCCCACCAGACGTCCAGATGCCCCTGCCCAGGGCACCACACTCCATGGATTCTTGGCTCTAGGAAGGAAATATAAGATGTGAATCCACAGGAGGTTGTAGTTAAAAGAAAAAGAAATCTCACAAATTAGTCAGATACTAGGAACCAACTCAAAGAAACAGAAATGGTTAAAGCTGGAGCGATGCAGCAATAAAGTCAATGAGGTCTCTTGGTTTAAAATGAGAGCAAAATATTCGTCAGTATTGCTATAGGATAGGGTCATTTCAGGTTCCCCATCCTCGGCTGCCCAAGGAACTAACTGGGGACCTCGGCTTGGGCATCTGGGAGCCACTCTAGGTTCAAGTCTCTTGCCAACCCTAAGGTGGCTCCCTTAACTAAGAACCATGCTTCCGTGCTCCCCCATCCAACCTTCCTTCATCCCAATCCTCCCCCTTCCCCAATCATAGAACCTTCATCTGGTGATGGATGGAGACAGAGACAGAGACCCACACTGGAGCACTGGACTGAGCTCCCAAGGTCCCGATGAGGAGCAGAAGGAGGGAGAACATGAGCAAAGAAGTCGGGACCACGAGGGGAGCACCCACCCACTGAGACAGTGGAGCTGATCTATTGGGAGCTCACCAAGGCCAGCTGAACTGTGACTGAAAAAGCATGGGATAAAACTGGACTCTCTGAGCATGGCGAACAATGAGGGCTGATGAGAACCCAAGGACAATGGCACGGGGTTTTGAACCTACGTAATGTGCTGGCTTTGTGGGAGCCTAGCCAGTTTGGATGTTCACCTTCCTAGAAATGGACGGAGGGGGGAGGACCTAGGACTTGCCACAGGGCAGGGAAATCTGACTGCTCTTTGGGCTGGAGAGGGAGGGGGAGAGGAGTGGGGGGAGGGGGAGAAGGGTGGGAGGAGGGGGAGAAGGGTGGGAGGAGGGGGAGGGAAATGGGAGGCTGGGAGGAGGAGGAAATTTGTTTTTTTTTTCTTTTCTCAATAAAAAAAATAAAATG